TGGTATTTGAATCTGTTCAACCATGAAGCCTCTGCTGTTTAATGGTTATGACGCCCACCTTGTGAGCGAGAGGTCGCAGGTTTGAATCCCGTCAGACATATTTTATTACACAATTTCTTTATTTCGTTTATAAGACTACATTCGTTGAGAGCTATGCTACATGATGTATTATTATGTTCTTTAAACACTGTATTTACCTTCCTTTGATGATTTATGGCTTTCTTGATTTATATTATGTAATGTATATGTATATATATATATATATATATATTATATATATATATGCTTTACTTTATATATTTATATATAAAATATATTTTATTGTAATGTTTAGATAGTTGTACATTAAAATTTCTGTATTAATATTGTGCTAGAGTCTTATGTGCATACTATATTTTTTGTATTGTAAGAATTATAAAACAGCACTTGATATTTGGATTTGTATATTTTAAATATAATGTAATATAATATGATAATGCAATACTTTACCTTATAATATTTAAAAGTCAGTTGTATGGAAGAGAGTGCCTGGGGTTGGATTTGCACCTATTCATATAGTTCTGTATGGTCTAACGGTATGATACTCGTCTTGGTAGCGAGAGGCTGCAGGTTCGAATCCAGCTACAGACATCCTTTTTTCATACAAGTATAATGGGAACTTTGTGTTGAAGGGCTATGCTTGATATGATTATAAAACCTTCTGTTCCCATCAGAGAAGTTGTTACTTCACCTACATTAAAACCTAAAAATAGAGGTCCTGGGCTTTTTGTTTGCAACCTTTGGATGAGCTTCTTTTCAAAATGAATGGTGTAAATTTTGGGAATTACTACTATAAAGCAATAAATAGGCTAGGGCCACTGGAGCATCAGTCTGTATCATGGAGTGCATTAACCAGCATTAAATCACCTAAATTACTGTATAAACCAAGTGTGTTTTTTTTTTGTTTCTTTGAAGTTCATGTACAGTGTACTGTATGTACTGTACTACATTGAAAAAAAGCCTGCGCTATCTTGAAAAGAAGCCCATGGGCTTCTTTTCAAGGCTACTTTTGCAAACTAAAGAGGGGGCTTCAGTACGAGATGGCCTTCTTTTCGAGATTAAGCCCATTGGGCTTCTATTTGAGGTTTTGCGGTACCATATTTGTTTATATTATATATATTTGAAATATATTGACTAAAATCGGGTTCACTACCTAAAGCACAGATGGGATTTTTTGTGGCAGATGAAAATGAATTAAAACTTGTTTTTTATGGTCCGACACCTATTATCTGTAAAATATAATATTAAAACTGAGCATAAAGCGGTGTATGAAGGTTTTTGGAATTACAGCATTCATTTTGGTGCGGCACTCGGTGTTAAATAAAAAATTAAATTATTATTTATTTGGCAGTTTTCTTTTAACATATAAACAATAATTGTTATTGAGCTTTCAATCAACCATGAAGACATGCTTAGGTTACACATTACTCAGGGGTCCAAAGTTGGAAGAAGCCAGTTCCAGGAGATTGGTTAGGCCACGTAAAAGAAAAGTTTCTTGTCTAATTTACTTTAAATAGAATTTTTATTATAAGTTTTATTATAAGTTTATTTGCATTTTGATACTTTTTTGTTCTGTCTAATATTTTACTTCTGTTTATATTCTTAACTTTGTTAAGAAAATTGGACTTTTTTGAAAAGCAGTACTGCGCTACTGAAAAACAGTACTGCGCTACTGAAAATGCTTCTTCCAACTTTGGTCCAGTCGAAAGAAAGAATAAATAAATAAATATTTTGAAAAAATAAGAGAATGAAGGCAATATTTTTTTTAATCCAAGCTGGCAAATCCGAAGATGGTCAATGGGAAAGCTACTACTTTTTAACTTTTACTAAGTAGACACTTTGAAAGCAAATAAAAGAAGTACTAGACATTATTCATACCAAATGTATCCCCAACCATGAACGATGATAGAGACGAGGAATTTTACTGATGTGAGTTAGCCAGACTTTGGTAAAATAAAGGAAATTTTTTTAAAAATTTGGTGAGGTGGAGAAAATGGATGCACGTAACACAATGTAATTTTATTTTGCTGTGCGCCAGGGACTTCTGAGACAATTACAATAGTAAAAATATGTAAATTGAAATTTGCAGGAGATGGGTTGAATTTCCATAAGATTCACGCTTGCAGTTGCGAGTGTAGGAGGCAGTCCTTTTCTGGGACACTCATGCAACTCACGGGAGACTTGAGGCCCCTGCTTTACTACGCAGGTTATGCATGACTCCAGGTTCCGCATCCCTGGACCCCACCAGGGCCCCACAGCTAAAGCTTGGCCCTATTATAGGGCCCAAGGCTTCTTTTTTGTCATTTGTCCCCTCCCCCACTGTTTTGCATGAATGACTTCACATCTAGTGCTGTTCCATTTCATGAAAAAGAAAGTGAAGGGCACTTTGTCCAGTCTTTCTAATTTTCAATTAAATGCTAATGTATTGAAATGAAAATTAAGGAATTACTTTGTTCTTTAATTTTAAGTTTATATTTGATTATATGTATAATAATTTTAAGATGTAGAAATGACAACATTAATATAGAGCACAAAACATTTTCGGTTTTCTGTCTTTTATTTAACTATAAAAATGTTTAAATACATATCAAGTATTTGGTATAATTGTAATCAAATTTATTTATATTTCATCTAACAATTACTCTTTATGGAATTGAAAAAAGTCTATTCTTATTTTCACATTAGTTTTCCCATGTTCAGTTTTTAATATTGTTACCACTGGAAACATATTTTTACATTTTAAGGATGTATTTAGAATGCAGAATTTAGAAGAAAAGAACTTATTTCTTAAGAAATAAAACATGATTGTATGTCACTGCACATTATCAACCAATTAGCACACATCAAATATATACATGTGCCGGGAACACACAATTAGGTCAAAGTTCAAAGAAATAGCTGAGATCATTTTTCTAAGTTGACTGTGAAAAGAAAACAGTTCAGAAATTGGTATATAGAAAAGTAGCAAAATGTTAGCACACTAAAACCTTCCTAAATTTTGCAAAAATTAAAAATAAAACTATCTAAATGTTACCATAACTAAATCATGGTATCACATAGACCAAGTTGGTTCATAGTGATAAACAGCAGATTCAGAAACTACAGTAAGTCAGGTTATAATATTTCATTGTAATTAAGTTATCATGGGAACCTAAATAATACATGTTACTACAGTCATAGGCTATGTTCAGACCTGAGAGATACGCCAGTCGTATCTAACGCAGAGCGTACATCCGTGGCGTAAATAGCGTAAATGTCCAGACTGGGCGATTAATGAACGCTAGCGTAAGTATTTGGGCGAAATATTTGTATTCGTAATTGCGCGTTTTATTTCCTCTAGGCTTATTGTGATTGGTCAAGTCCTGGGTGAGTTCAAAATCATTGATGCATGACTGTCGTAACTCAGTGGTGTATGCTAATCTGGGGTCTGCTGCTGGATTACCGTACGCTAGTGATTGCGCGATAATACTGGCGTTCGCTACGCCTCGCACAAGTTCACACCACTCGATTAACGTTACGCTAGCGTAAGTCGTGTCTGAACATAGCCATAGAGACTAGAATTATACATGTCACCATAGAGACTAAATTCATGTCGCCATTGCGACTAAAATCATATAATTTTTTAATTACAAAGTATACTATTTAACTATAATACAAGCACAAAAGATTGGTAGTACTCGCAGAGTGTGATGCTCTTGATACTCAGCATCGGAAGAATGTATCCGGTACTGACCACTTTGCTAGGGAGTCCAAGAGACAAAAATTCTAATGTTGTAGAATTTCAGTTATCTGCAATAATTTCATATGGAAAAATATGGTAAAGAAACTACAGTACCTGAGTAATCATGAATATTCAACAGCAACACCTGCTTAATTTAAATATTCAACCAACTAATCACAAACAGAATGACTGATTATTGAATTACATTTCAATGGTAACTACCGTGAAAAACAGTGAAAATAAATAAATAAATAATTAATTGAATATTGGAATACCAGTTTTATATGGGATTAAGTCAAATTCCATATGGAGTACCATATTATCCCTTAGTAGGATCCTTCAGGAATCATATTACGGGGCAGCATACACTCAAAAAAGTCAGTGAGCAGTTCAAAGGAATGTTAAATTGGAAATTATTGTTTTGCCTCGCATCGGTAGCAGACATAAAACTACTGTATTATGTACCACAAATGGAGGTACTGCAATATAGGACCCTTTACAAATTCATCTTTAAAAATGGAAGCCGTTTTTATGTATGCTGAACAACTTTGTAAGTTATTGCTACAGTATTTCTGAAGCAGTATGGGATATTTTTAAGAAACTAATGTCCTTTGATATCACTTATTTCCTTCAAATTATATGTACTTAAATTTCTGGAAAACATTTTTGAAAAACTTATTCTTGATTTCCTAAAGAATAACAGCTGCTACTATAGCACCAAATAAAGAATGTTTTTAAAATTATTATTTAAATTTGAATACTGGTATTTAAGATTACGTGCACATCATAATGACGATTTCTTGGTATTCACATTATATTGTAATAAAAGTTTTTGTCTTCAATATCAAATTAAATCAACAGAACAATACATTTTAAAAATATTTTCAAGTGTAATACTTTCAATAATTATCTTTCATTTTATATCGGACAATTAATGTAAGTTGCCAATTGTATTTTATAAGGTCGGGCACACATGGCATCGTACGGCCGTTGGCTGATGAATAAATCCCTATGAGTGCTGACATCGTCCACTGATTGTCGTAAAAACGATTCGTTTTGTACACATTGTCGCGTTGCAAACCAAATGGAATTGCACAGGCAGGTGATTCGGCTTAACATTGGACTGTCTCTCAGTATATACCACTGACTTTTCCATAATTTGTGAATATTATCAAAATTATTAACAGATATTAACCAGAACTTCTTTCAAAAAATCTCTTGAATTTAAATAAAAAATTAATACAGCAACTTAATTCTCAAAGTTGCTTGTGTGTAGTTATTTTATGTCCTATAAAAAGCATCTCTATCCTTTTAATGACATATTTTTTCTTTATTACAAAGTGCTATAAAAAAAAACTATACACTCTAACTTCTATATAACATTTATAGTTAGATAACAATATCAACTAAATAAATACAATTATATGGTAAACACTTTATTTACAAACTTAGTATAAAACCTTGTACTCATATTTTTATTCTGTTCATAGAATCACAAAATTACTTGTAATTATTTTATCAGAGCACCTTCTGATTCTCTAAGAGTCAAACATAATTGTTTATAATCACACGTTAAAATCATATTTGATCAATAATTCATAACAGATTGTACTAGATCTGTTATACAGCTCCCTCTATAGTCTTAATGTAAATCACTAGTAAAACCTAAAAGCTGTCTTGCAGCTCAATGGTAAGTGTAAAACAAAATCAAAAGAAATAGAAGTGAAAATTATTTTTTTTAAACGAGAAACAAACAACTGTAGAGAATTTAAAAATAATATATTTATTAAAAGTATAAGTATTGGAATTAAAGTGTAACTGAACTAAAAACTTAAAGTAATTGTCACAATAATTTAAAACTATTGATAAAGTTTGAACTGAAATCATCAGTAAAATTAAGCACTAAAGAAAAGTGGAAATAGAAGTGAAAATTTTAATCTGCTTTTTTATAGAAAAGGAAACTAAAATAATAAATTTATTGGACTACAGTAACTGAAACTAAATAATTTACCAAGATTATTAACTAAATAATGGTTTGAGATTACATATAATAACTTTCACTTGACACATCCAGTCCCAAATATAAGACATATTTTATTGTTTTTCGATTTTATCTCTTCCTTTAAATTGTACATTTTTCGCAATCTGGCGTTAAGTATTGATCTTATAAAAGAAGACTCTTGCATAACCACAGGAAGACCTTGCATGTCTGAGTACAAATATAAAGATGATTTCTCCAAATGGCCCTTGACAAGAAGTCACCCGTTTAAATCTACAGTGTTTCCTATTCTATAATTTAAGTTCATCTTCTTTTAAATTTTGTTCTGTGTCAAGTTCGCTTATCAATAATAGAATTACCTATCAAGGGATACGATAGACTTTATGGCCCATACCACATCTCAAACCTTTGTTGTTTCAATTATGCATGTCCATGTCAAAGGTCATCAAACATTCATACAGCTTACAATGTCGTCATTTAAATAAACTGTTATTAGACTAATACTTCACTAACAGCAGAATACTGAAACCAATTTTCAATAAATGCTAATAACACTTTCTTAAATTCAGGAAATTACACATGCCATACGATTTGTTCGTTTATGTTTCCTGACCTTCATGAGACAACTATCAAATGGCTGTAAAAGGAATAAAACCTTAGTTGTGTTTGGCACGTTTTCCTTTCATGTACCCCATCCATCGTTTCTCTGTTGCATCAAAAATTGGGTCTTTCTCGATACTCGCCAATAACATCAACTGCTGGCAGTGTGTAGCGTGGTAATCCCAACGTGCTAAGTTCGGTGCTTTTCCTAGAACCACATGGCGGAGATCGTAAATAGTCCCTGATCCTGTATCATACATCATAATCATAGCTTTTAACGACTTCAACCCATCATTGTATAAATGAGTTGCATCACGCCCTTCTTCTTGGGAAGCAATTTTTTTCAGATCATAAAGTCCGATTAACGAATAAATGAAACCATTCAAAACAAAACTACTCGGCGTGGTTGGGTACTCCTCGTACCAATTGTAAGTATCAAGAAATCTTGCTTTAACACCACCCTCAACTGACGGTATTGTATAAAGTTTTGTGGCATGAAGAGCAGCTTCTAAATATTTGCGTTGATGTGTAGCGGTGTATGCTCTTGTAAGGACGGATATTGCATGACCCTGCGCCATCGCAGAGTACCAACCTGGGGGCAAGGGTTTTAGATCATCATCTAGTTTCCTTGTGACCATAATTGGCCAACCTCCATTTTTATCTTGATTGCGTAAGAACCAATCTGCCGATGCGTAAAAATTTTCCATGTGGTTGCTGGTTGAGATTTTTAAATTGTCAAGATAACCATTTCCGTGTAAAATTATTTTTAGTACTTTGCGAATGTTTATTTTCTTGCTAACTTTTGACTTGTTTAATGCTAGACCTTTTCGTAGATCAGCAACTAAGTCTCGATTTATCGTCCTCCACGAATGATTTTCACCGATATTGTATGTAATGTGTGAACCTTTCAGTAGAATTGGTGCACTTTGAGATGCGTAGTGCAAATGCATCGGTCGCTCTCTCTCAACGGTTTCAACGCTTACTGTGATAGTGACGTTATGTACAACTTTCAAATCAAATGTCAGAACATAATCGCCTTTTGAATTTAATGAAACCGACGGACCACGAGCTTGATTTGTTCCTGGAAAGACAAAAGTTAAGTATAAATAATTAATTTCATCTGAAAAAAAAAACAAAAAATCAAATACCATTAAACCAAAATTTGGATTGGGGCAATGTTTGATTGTTTTATATATATTTATAGTTCTATAATATTCTTTTTTTTAAAATATTTATTCGGATCCTTACAACAATTTGTTTAATTAAACAATTTATCATATTTTTATATCTATTTATTTATTATATATTTTCAATATTAATGTATTTAACTCTTGTGTATTGAGCTGTTGTACAATAAAAGGTGTTATGCACCACTGAACTGAAAAATTCTATTTTGTAATAGTTATTTGTCTGTCACCGAAATAATAGTATACTCTATTTATTTGAATAAACGCCCCTTCCAGAGCGTCATCTAGAATAAAGACTTTTCTTGAATAAATGCCCAGGACACTTTTTTTTCCCGAATAAATGCCCCATACAATGACTGTAAACAAAACTGATAGAAGCAACATCCTTCTCAACACATTCTATTAATTCTACTCCAGTAGAACGTAATCACCTTCTGAATGTTTTTTAATCAAACTAAATTTGTACTCCAATTCAGCATGTTGGACTGCTATTGCACAAATGGTTTTTTGAATAAAAGAACATAATAATAATTACATTTCCTCTAACCTGGTTGGGATCAGTAAGTCTTTATGCTCATATATACAATAACACATTTTGACAGTAATTTTGTGTTGTAGTCCCTCATTTGCAGTGGAATTCAGGGCAATTTATTTGAGTATCCATTTCACACACACACAAAAATAAACGCTTTTATTCAAATAAATATGGTATATGCAGTTAATAAAGTGATTGGTTGACAGAAACAAAACCAAGGCAGGAATAAGATGTACAGGTCTCACTCCAATTAACGACCACTTTTGGGGCTGGGGTTTACATGGTCTTTAGCAGCTTTGGTCTTTAATTAGAATAATACAAATGTGACCCAAGCTCACAAAAGGGCTGTAAACTCGCACTGCACTGTATTGAGAAACAAGCCTCCATAGCCAGAATAGGGCATAGAACGTGAATTTTGTGTGAATAAATAAAGTAACTTTCAATCTTACTATTCCTGAAGTTTGAGCTTAAAATTATAACAACTGTAAGAGGTAAAATTTAGCCATTTTTGGAAAGGAGCTAGTGAAAAATGAATAGAAACCTGCTGAAAATAAAAGCATTTTTCTCAGAACTTCATTTAAGAAAGTTGATAAGATGACAATTATTCAAACGGTCATAACTTTGCTTCCAGACACCCGATTGAGTTCATTCAACTGTCATTTTAATGTAAATGATATGTTCTATGCCATTAAAACTCATTTTGGCCTGAGGAAGAGTTTACAGCCCTTTTGTGAGCTTGGGTCACATATAAGAAATTTGTTGATTTAGGACCACGAAAGAGTGGTCTTTAACTGGAGGTGGTTTTGACAGGAGGGATCTTCAATTAGAGAGAGACCTGTATATCATTTTATACAATAAAACAGTATTTTAGCAGACTTTTCAATTAAAATGCGAGACAGGACTTTTACATAATGTTAACTATAAATTTTTTTAAAACCACACAAACCTTGCGTCTCAAATTTCAAAACATTTGATTTTCTCTCTGAATCAAAGACTCGTTCAATTTTGCTGTCTTTGTCAGGGACCCAATTACGTGTATTTGTGTCAGCGTCCTCGTAAACTTTAACTCGCGGTTCCTTTTCGGTCAAGTTCTTGCTGAAGTGACTTAAACCAAATTGAGCAATCTGAATGGGATAGAAGTAACCAGCTGGATCCCACTGTGTGGTCATTGGAACTCCTACAAGAATAAAGTTTAGCACCTTTTAAAAATACAATTTAAACATTTAGAATACATTGCTTACTGTCTCCATGAAGTATTGGAAATTCTTACCATTATTTATTAATTATATGATTAAATTTAAAGTTTTATGTAGATTGATTTTAAAAGTAATTCTTTGATGAGACAGGGACATATCCAGGGGAGCCGTGGCAGCCGCGGCTCCCCCCACCCCCCCCCCC